CCCAAGTGAGGTTTCCAAGGCCTCAGAAGTACAGAGGAAGTAGGAATACAGGTGATGACCCCTTTGGGTCGTCACATAATATTATTAACTACAATATATTTACATATTAGCTATAATTTATCTATATTTCATAACAGTTGATGTAGTATATATTGTAGTTAAATTGTAGTATAATTCTATATTTCTATATTTTTAACTTTTAGGTTGATGGAAAGTTAGCGGATTTTAGGAAGGCTATATTTGAGGAACTCCATAAACTGAGAGTGTTTATAGATGATTCTGTGAAGAGTGTTTTGAAATTGGTAAACAGGAGCTATGATGTGGATGAGGCAAAGGTAAGAGTTGACATATATTTATATACCAAAACAAATTATGACATATGAAACAATATACTCAACCTAACATTAAATCTTTAGTTTGCTGGTAGTTCAACCAAAAACAATGACCAACAACAAGGATTGAACAACCAACAATTTCATTGCAATATTAGTGATCAAGTGCATGCAAGCACAAGCAACACAGATATCTATAAAATACCTACAAATATATACACTTATTATAAAACTTTATAGAACATAGTTTTATTATTCACATTTTATCTACAACTTCCTACCTATATCTACAACTTTCAAGGCAGCATTATCTAGTATTATTTACCTTTTTTAATTATAAATTTAAGCTACAGTTTATCCAGAACATGTTCCAGGACATGTTGACTTATATCCAGAATTTCAAGAAGCAGCTGATGTTGATCAAGCAGGTATAAAATCATGCTGTCATTCATAATAAATACTTGTTGTTTATACCATTTTACATTCCTGTTAAGTAATTTATGTTTTATGTAACAGATATTGAAGATGTCAATGTACACTCCCCAATTCACGGAGTGACTGTAGCAGCTCAGACAGAACAAGTCAATGAGAAACAGCTAAATGAAGGTGAAGATGCACAGCATGTGGATGAAGTTGGTTCTGAAGGATTAGGCATTGATAAGAAGGCTGTGACATTGGATGACTTTGAGTTGCCAGACAACTTAACACAATTGGTTAAGTTTGGAGAGCCCATACCAGATAAAGCAACCCCTATTCATCCGGGGAGAAGCAAGCAATCGGGGAAACATGCACGATCACCTTTCATACCTCTATATAGTTCTGGAGGCAGCAGCTCTATTGGTCCTAAATTTTTCTACCTCAAGCACCTCTCATAACTCTTATAGGTGAAAATGTAAATTCTGATGTGTTAGATAAGTTCAACAAGTGTAACTTTGAAGGTTTTGGAATTTAACTCTTTCCGTGGGTCATTTTGGAAAGTACATTTAACCTGCATTATATCTACAATCTGAAAATACTTTACATGAATTTACTTTTTAATATCAGTTTTATTGTAGATAATAAATATGAATACAAAATTACACCATATCAAAGACAAATTTAGATGCCTGACAAGATACATAAAAGCATATTAAACACACATAATAAAATTGTAGTATACTTCATAATGATCTTTAAAAACTTAAGCGATTACACAAAAAAATATAGATTCTTTAACTCACTAACAGTAACTACAAAATAACCATTCTAACTACATGATTTTTTTTTTGGGTGCATTCTTGCAAGATCTTTTGCTATGCCCTTCACCTCCACAGTTTCCACATGACACCTTGTACTTCTTTGACTTTAGTTCATCATATGTTTTGTATCTTTCCTTTTGAGGTCTTCCTGGCCGCTTTTTCTCTCCCGTAGGTGGTTTTACTACTTCATCAGATATATGTTGTGGCACATTCCATTTGCTTTCATCAGGAAGGGGATTTACTGGCATTTCATATGTACGGAGTAGGCTTTCCCTTGTGTAATACGGCGAGCAATAATTTTCATATCCTTCATTCCTGTCCCTTAAAGCTGCCAAAGCATGCGCACATGGAAGTTCATCAAGTTGGAACTGGCCACAAGTACATTTCTTGTTTTCAAGACACACAATGTACCGCTTCACACCATCTATCACAGTATAGATAAGATCTGTTGAAGCCCTCACCTACAATTACATAACAAACAGAAATAAAAATATTTAAAATTCATAAAAATAGTTTATCTACAATTATCTTCAACTTATCTACAAATGATCTACCATCTACAAATTAACTATAGTTTGTCTATAATTTATCTACATTTTGGAAACACTTTATATAAAAATATTATTATTCTCCACAAAATAAAGAGATCTTACCCTAAGTTTCTGAGATAATGTACTATTTTTCTCCAATTCTTTGTTGAATTTGTACCCAAGGTATGTGAAAGTACCCTTTGCCTTCAACAACTTCTCTTTCGTCCAACGTTCAAGAAGTGTCCTCATATACTCTAATAGGTCAAATATAGGCAGCTCTCTTGCATATTTTGTTACAGCATTCAACGACTCTGCGATGTTTGATGTCATAGTCCAAGTTCTATTCACCGTTGCATGTACTCTTGACCATCTATGATAGCCAATATCATAGAGGTATGATTTAACACGAGGGTCTATCTCTTCAATCTTCGACATCCTTTCATTAAATTCATCCATAGTGTATGATCCTGCTGTAGCAAAGTACAATTCATTTAATTGTAGATGACCCTTCTTGAACTTTGCCCTTATATTTGTCCAAATATGCCACACGCAAGAGTAGTGTGGCACGCCCGGATAGACAATTAATGTTGCCTTTAGGATACTCTCATTCCTATCTGAAACAACACACATTGAAGTTCTTTCACCATATGCTAGCTTGAATTGCTCAAAAAACCACTTCCACGATGCATCGTTTTCCGAATCAACCACTGCATATGCCAAAGGCAATATTGTTCCTACATTATTAATAAAAAATTAATTAACTGGTAGCTTTGAAATTGCATATAAAGACACAAATACATATAAACTACAAGATATCTACAAAGATATCTATAATGTTTCTACAATTTACACACTGCCTACAAAATAACTACATTTATACCTGCTGCATCCATTGTGCTTGCTGTCAGCATAATTCCCCTATAGGTTGTCTTTAAGAATGTCCCATCAACCACTACTACTGGTCTACAATATTCCCAACCACTTATTGATATACAAAGAGCAACAAATGCATATAAGAAGCATTCATCGATTGTCTTCTTCAATTTAACAATTGAACCAGGATACGTTTTCTCAAGAATATAAAAATATTTTGGTAATTTATTGTAGGAGTCAGCCGTATGATTTCTCAATAACTGTAAAGCTTTTTCCTTTGCCCTCCATGCTTGCATGTAGCTTAGGTTCACTCCATGTTGGGATAACATGTCAGTTTGTATGTCCTTTGGTGTGTAAACAGTCTTAGGATCACAATACTTTGGCATGACCATGCTACCAACTACAACTGCAGTACGTTTGCGTTGTATGAATGTATCGTCCATTAAGGAGCATGTGTGTTATCGGTTGAAACTCCTTATCTTGAACATTGCGGAATCATTAATTGATGTTGCCTTGAAGTGCCATTTACAGTTTTCACCAACGCATACAAGCCAGTAGCTTCCAAAAAAAATATAATATTTAATACAGATTATAAATGTAGGTGCAACAAAAGGACTGTTTTACCATAAAGTAACATAAACTACAATTTAACTACAATGTAACTACAATTTTACTATAATTTTTAAAATATTTTTTACTTGACTAAAACACTGCTTTTATTGATATTCTCTCCATACCTTCTATGACTAGATCTTTTAACTTTGAATTGGAACTTGTGCATCACAGAAAAGTGCTTCATTGCAGCAGCTATAGTTTGCTTGTCCTGATACACTTGTCCTTCTTCAATATCAGTTTGCGTAGATTCTTTTATTATTTCACTTTGATATTCCTCTATAGCCGGAGAGGATGGCATATCAAGTAACCTTAGGGATCCAGACGAACCTGCATCAATATAAAGATAAACAGTGTCATTTTAATTTGTACAAAATTTGTAGAGTTTTTGTAGATATAGTTAAAATTTTGTAGACATCCATATTATGATGTCAGACATTGTATTTAAATTGTACAAATGTAGTTTTAATTGTAGTTAAATGTAGATATATTGTAGATAATATCGTAAAACCATAATTCTATGCAATTTCTAACTATACAAACCTGCACTTGTGTTATCGTTCGTGATTGCTAATTCCATATTGAAATCTCGTACACTTATACATAACGGATATGAACCTAAGTTTTTATTCTCCTTTTTTGTCTCCATATACACACTAACCCCCATATCATTTCTAATCTCCATTGGGGGACAATTGTCGTTCACGATGTATTTGATTTCTACGATTTTTTCTGTAGTATCAATCGATAGTTGTTCTGCAATTGTAGAAACCAGAATATTGTAGCTTGCATTCACATCTACCACAATGGCATCAACTTCAAAATCCCTAAATCTCCCATAGTTGTCCCAAATCCCATTGAATTGTAGCATTATTGCGATTTACGACATGATTGCTTGTTGTTGTTGGTGTTTTTTTGGATTTCTAGATTGAGAGAAGAAAAGATGAAGAACAGATATATGATCGATAATTTGATTTCTGAAAACGACGAAGAACAGAATATAGCAATTCGTTGAAGCTGTTCGTAGTTGAATCTCGAAGATTTGAATTCTACAATTTGAATTCAGTTCGTTGAAGCTGTTCGTAGATGAACTTGTTCGTACTTTTTGAAGCTGTGCGTTCTTTTTTTCCTTAATTTTTGAATTGTAGTTTAAGAGAAAAATACGCTGATGAGAATATTCCTTTCCATTTTAAAAATTAAATTTAATGTAGAATCAATCAATCAGGATTCTTTCCTGATTTTTAGCGCGTTTTTAGGGAATATTCTGCCCTTTTAATACCTAATAAACGAATGGTACATAAATTGTAGGAAAAATATGGACTAGGCGGGTAATTTAGATAATATAAACATTTTTGGTAATAAAGTTTCAATATATGCTATAGATAGCAAAAAATCTCTTTTATAAAAGGCCCAAAGCGATTTATAGGCATTCATTTTGTACTGCAAATCCAACGTCTACCGATCTATTATCATCGTCCTTGTACCTTTCGCCAGTCTGATCATCAAAGCTGGTGATTGCTTCCCTTTGCTTGTAATTTCTGCTTCTTTTGTTGTACCATAGAAGAAGCACTGGAGCAAATTGTGTGCATCCTATGGGAACTGGGAATTCGTTCTAAGTATCTGTAAGTGTTAACCTTTTGTCTCTTTCTTTTATCATTTTCCCAAACAACACCGATCTCTTTTAGGTTTTCCTGTCTTTTTTTTGTTCATATTGCTGCCGTTCTGCAAATTCTCCTCTCACGATGTGTTATTGTTTGATGTTGATATTCTGTTTCTGCGAAGTTAGTGATATTATGTGTTACTTCACTAGTTGTGAATATTCTAGGAACTCGGGTAAGTTTAACAAAATTACATGAAAGTTCCGTTACATAAATGGAAAGTATGATATATGTTTCCACGACTTAATTATGTTTGTAATGCAATCTGATTTAAAGGTCAATTCAAGTATGAAAACTGAAGGAAATGTCGTAACTAGAAAAGATGATTAATGGGTTTGAATAGAGCTGAATCGGTATAATGATTCATATAACGGACTCCAACTAGTTCAGGATTGAGGCATAGTAGTTTTTGTAATAATTAAAAAGAAAGAATTGTAGAGAATGGTAAATCTCACCAGCCATATTCCCTTTATGTGGTCAGGGAAGAAGGATGTTATATTCTAGTACTTGTTAAAGCTTTTCACATGTGATGGCTGGATTGGAGGAATTGAAGAAGAAGCTTGTGCCTTTGTTTGATGCTGAGAAGGGTTTCTCACCTGCCTCTACATCGGATCCTTTTGATTCATACTCTGTAAGTTCTTTTTTAAAGATTAATATGCCCACAAACTACATGTTTACGAGTGCTGATATTGGTTTCTGTGAAGCTATCCGATGGTGGAACTGTGAATTTGTTGAGTCAATCATATGGTGTTTACAACATCAATGAGCTGGGACTTCAAAAGTGTACTTCATGGCCTGTTGATGATGCAGATCATGGTGAAAAGACATATAAATGTGCTTCCCATGAGATGAGGGTTTTTGGAGCCATAGGTAGCGGTGCAAGTAGTGTTGTTCAGAGAGCTATTCACATTCCAACTCACAGGATTATTGCTTTGAAGAAGATTAATATTTTTGAGAAGGTTTGTGCATTTGAGTTTTTTCAATCTTTATGTTTAAGTGCTTTCATTTTACCTGATCCAAAAAAATAAAATAATTAATGTTTAACTCCACCTATCTTTAATTTTTTTCTAATTATAAGCGCTGCAACTTTGTCATGAATTTAGAGAGAGAGCCTCACAACGGGAAGTGATATGGATGTTTATCTTTTGGCTAAAACAGTGATAAAATTTCAGTACTGTACTTCCTCTGATTTATGCTCCCTTTACCAACTTAAACATGTCTAGAAGGAAACGTTTCTTATCTGTGAGCAAAAAGATTCTATCTAGGTGTAGCAAACATATGCTGTCATAAAGCTATTATTCCTGAGCCC